TAAGCTCCTCGATTAGTTTTTTGTTGTCAGTACCATGCATCTGGCTTATATGTCGCTGACTATCGATTAATCTGTGCATTACTGATCTGGCTTGGCTTCGCCCTGTATAAAGATATGAAGTGGTGGTAGATTCAGCAGGACTTTCAACGATGCAGTAGAAGTTGTTTTTATGGCCCCCGTAATACACAGGCATGCTAGCCTTTGTGTATTACCTAGCAGTCTTATTGCTCCCACTTGCTGCGTCTTTGTTCACCACGTCACCGAACCATAGGTTATCATGGGTCTAATAACCCTTATGTATAACCATAGAGTCATTTTGGAGTTAAGTCCCCAATTCTTACAGCACATTCTTCTACATCTGCCCAGGGACATAGTAGCTTTCTATGTGGTTTTCAGAATGTGAGTATTTCATATAAGCCTATAACCAAAATATACCCCAAGGTATTTTGTTTCTTTGGCAAATGAAATCTCTGTTCTTCCGAGCACCCGTGCTTTTAGGCATTGTAGTGCTGTTTTTTTGGTGAAGTTAACGATTTGTGATTTTTGAGCATTGACTATCAGTTTCTCTTGTTTACACGAGTCGTCAACTATATTTAGGGCTGCTTGCATTCTCTCAGACACCATCTAAGGAAACTTGCTCCTGACAACAATTGCTATATCGTCAGCATATCCTAGACAATAAAAGCCTTCTGTGAAGAGATTTCTGAGGAGATCATCTACCAAGATTGTCCAAAGTAGAGGGGACAGAACTCCTCCTTGTGGACAGCCTCCACCTAATTTTGCTTTGATGGTTGCTTTACTCAGAGTGGACATTACTGTCCTATTCCCCAGGGGCGCCCTGATCCATCTGTATGTTACCGCAGATGCGCCTCGCCTACTCATAGCTCCTATCAAAGAGCTAGTGGTAACATTATTAAATGCCCCTTCTATATCTAAAAAACGCATCCATTGCTATCTCTTTGTCTTTCATCGACTGTGAGATAAGCTTATTTAGATCATCCAACGCAGAGTCCGTAGATTTACCAGGTTGGTATGCATATTGCCGATTGCTTAGAGGATTATCTTTTAGCACTTCGTCTCTGATGTACATATCAAGTAGCCTTTCCAGCGTTTTTAATAGAAAAAAAAGATAGGTTTATCGGTCTATATGACTTTGATGTTAGGTCTGATACTTTTCCTAACTTACGCAAGTATATAACTTTAACCTTTTGCCATATTTCTGGTACGACCTCCCATGCTAAACTGGCTTTGAGGAGCTTGCATAGGTGTGGTATCAATACCTCTAATCTTATATGCAACAGTATTGGATATATGCCATCTGTATCAGGAGATTTATATGACCCAAACTTATTTATATTTATAGCCCATCTATTATTCCTGGATGGTTACCAGCCGCCACCCGAGAAGCAGAACGAAGGCTTTTCGGTTCAATCTTCTTTTTATTTGAGAATTTGATATAATTCTGATTAGCACTAGCCAGAGGCAGATCAGGGGTTCTGCTGTCAACGGGGTGCTACTGACAATATAAAGTACTTTAGCAGTTCGAAATTTCTTACATTTTAATCTTAGATAAAAAGGTTCAGGAGTACTATATGCTCAAAGGGCACCTCGATTGTAAAACAAGGATGTCGGTTACACATCCTTGTTTTAAGTAGAAAAGCAGAAAAAGCTAAGTACAAAAATAGAAAAACACGTATTTAAGCGTTTTATACATTAATATTTGATTAAATTAAGTAAAATAGCATTATCAATGATTGCTTATACATTAATACAAATTTCCAACCCTTTGAAACTACCGCTTATGACGTAAATAACGATAAAAACGTTATACAACATAGAATGCTTATCTCAAATTAAATTACAATCAATGACAATTCATCTATCGCTTGTCAAATCATGTCTTATTGCTTTTAAGTTTTTAACCCCTAGACGCAACCCTTTGCACCCCTTTGTGCAAAAAAATACTTAAAAAGTCTATTTTCAATTTAAAATATTTTAATTTTCCATTACATAATCAAACATTCATTTCTCGCTTATAAAACGATATTTCTTTGGTTTAAATTATTCAATCTCTACTAATTACCCCCAAAGATGACTACAACGTTAAAAGTATTTTTTTGAATAGCATTTTACCAGGGTGATTCTTTCGAATAGGTTTCGGCAACAATTGCATCTTTAACCCTGTTTCAAGTGACTACTCGTACTTTCGATGTACACTAGCCCAGGGTACGAAGCACGGTAAACGGTTCGTATCATTTTTAGAAATGAAAATGTCGTTGTTGGTCTATTTATCTACAAAACGATTATGCGTTTTCCGATATGTGAGAGCTCCAAAATACGTACATTTTTTACTCACCAAAATTATCTTTCAAAAATATTATTGGTTTTTCTCAAACTTTTCTTCAATTTTATAAAAGTAAGGTTTGAAGCACTCTAAACATGGGTGTTTACACCAAGAGACACAATTTAATCGGTGATTCCATTGTGTTTTACGATATGAAAGTTTATAAAAGCAGGAATATTTAATAAAAAAGAAATGTATTTTTGTACTCTATCATTTTTTACTTATATAATATAGTTTTAGGTGTAGGTTCATTATGTTATATAAAAATTCCACTGTACTAAATTATCAAACACTGTAAAGTGCTACGCTCAGAAGTATTTATAATTGTGAAACTTTGTCCTTTCGTAAAGTCAGTTCAAGAAGATTAACTAAAACACTGCAGAAGTTAGGTTCTCGTAATAATTTAATTTTAAATATCAGGAGAATCATTTAAATAATATTAATAATAATGTCAGCATTTTTGTGCCAAGGAGAATTTTAGCTGATGTGTGCCCAGGAATACAACAAAAGTTGAAGGTATGGATCTATCTAAGAGGAGAACTGAACGCTTAAAAATATGAGCTCTTACCGTGCGGCTTACACCGTCAGCAAACATTAAACTCGTTTCCTTGAAAATATAGTGTAGACTATGTTTAAAAAATGATTGTAAATGATGTAAAGTTTAATTTCAGCTATAATTTAGCCGGAAAATTAACATAAGCGGAACCTCTGAAACTCAAGATACTTATTGGTAAGAGGGGACGATTATTCAAATTGTTAGTTTCGGCTTAAAGAAGCTCTACAAAAGACGCTGCTTTTATGGTAATAGGATTCACATAATTCACATTCATAAATTTTACAGTTAGGACGATTTGTGCGAGCGTAACCAGGAGTATTACAACCATATCAAACTACACTGGAAGAACATTGAGAGGATGCCTTTAAAGTGTGAAGATTATTATTGAAACGACTAGGAGGTATATATGTGCTAACTGAATCATTAGAATTAGAAGTCGTTAATTGCTTAGTCTCTTGACTATTGTTATTAAATTTTCTACGTTCTGACTGAACATGGCCCAAATGTGTACAAAATGTACACTTTGGCCTGAAGTTTATTTTGCAAGAGTCCTTTTCTTGATTTGATTGAGGTTTTTGTCGATGATCAGAGTCAGTAGCAACTAAACCTTCTTTTAAGAATGCTTCAATTTATCGAGATTCCACTAAAAGTTCCATAAAATTTTGAAATTTATTTCTTTCTAACCTTTTTCGTAACTTACGTACTATTAAGCCATAAACCATATTCAACTGAACCTCTTTAATTAGGGCATAAGGTAATTCTGCAAGCAAAGCACGAATATGTAAAACAAATAATTCAGTAGGTTGACTAGAATTTTGTTCACCCAAGAATACCTTTAGAAATATTAAATAAGGCATAAGTTTTTTCAAATAGACACATTTTAAGGCTTATAGAGCATCTTTCCATTTGAAAATTGTATATTTAATACCTTGCCACCATGTAGCAGTAAAACCACTAAGCATCATAGACAAACCACGAATTCTCATCACTTATTTGGGAACAGTTCCTAAAAGTTAATACATTGTCGAGAAAAGCTTTAACATCAGCTTTAACAGTATCAAAGCGAGCAGTACTTTTAACGAAATTTCCTCCTGACATGTGTAGGAGTTCAATTAAGATCTCTGATTTGCACTAAGACACTTTCAGATACTTCTTTATTAGAATTAGTACAGAAGTACCGAAAGTGAAGAATCAAACTGATTTAGGTACATTGTTATCGTAGAGATAGCAGAACATGTTTCTGCTGCATGATTTTCTGAATTAGCTTCTGACATTGTTTAAAATATAACAGACATAAGGAACACTGAGTCGAATAACAAGTGAGCAGCTCGTCGATTTCATATATGTATGCCAATGCAAAATCAATATATCGATAAACAGAGCAAATTAAGGCATGGAATCTAGGCTTATGATTTAAAATTATACTTACAGCCAAGTTTAATTATTAAAAAGCACTTAAACACCTACGAAATACTCGGAAATAATATTTATATATCGTGGCCACTGATTGGGAGCGAATCTTAAGGGTGGTAAGTTATACGGAGTAAGGTACAAGACAGAGATTATTTCCGTGTTTCTTGGTATCTGGTACTTAAATTACACTGTAAATACAACTAGTAGCAAGTATATGTTAAAATAAATAAAATACAAATCCCTGTGACCGTGTATAATTACCAAAAACTAATAATTTTTTAAAAATAAGTTACAACAAAACGTTACGTCCAATGAGTCCATACCTTGCAATCTAACGTATGAATATCAATTGACAGCATCCAGTCATATTATCCTACGTCAGGTGGCAGTGATGCCAGATATTAATTGTGTTACAGCCGTAATTAATTTTACTAATCATAATAATTAAAATGAACACTTCTACGAGTTTTTGGCTAAATGTGATAATTGTGGGAAATATAGTTTACGTCATTACTTGCTATAATATGCTACCGTTTAAAGTAATTTTAACAACTGTCTCCTTTCCATTTTTTAATGACTATTGAAAATTTTTTTAATGGAAAGTATTAGTTCAGAAAATATGTAGGAAAAGGGCTTAAGAACTTGTGATATGATATCGTTTAAACATCTTTTATTTCTTTCTTTTAGCTTATTTAACTCGTCCCGAACCCCGCAATTTAATTTTGCTTGATTGGTCCGAACTTTCAACCTTTCCGTGGTACCAAACAGCCGTATTAAACGTCAAACATGCAGCGGAAAGTTTGAGGAGATTTATCGAAGTTTTCCATGACAGCGGTGAAATTCCAATCAGGACATTACATGTAATTGGCTTTAGTCTTGGTAGCCACGTCGCAGGAATTGCAGGAAAGCTACTTAGATATGGTTTACAAATCCCACATATAACTGGGCTTGATCCTGCTTTGCCAGAATATTCGCTTACAGGTTTGTGAAAAGTTTTAAATAATGAAAATTACATTTTGTAATGTCTACTCCAGAAATAGTTTTCAAATTAAAAAAATTCGAAACTTCAAACATAAATTATAAAATTTTCATTTTCATTTCATTTTCATTATAGTCAAATGTTGTGGCTTAATCCCTGGTGTGGCTTTTGTGGCTAAGTTTGTAGTTTTAATAAATATACAATATAATAAATATAAGTAAAATAAAATAAAAAATTTAATACTCATTTTGAAAGACCAAAAAGGAAATTTACTAAAATGTATCTTGGGATAGTTAATTTCCGGTTAAGTAAAATAATTTAATTAACTACAAACATATTATTAAGACGATAAAATAAGCGATGACACTGAAAGTTTTAAGAACAGGTTTTTTAAAATACTATGAAAAATTTATTGGTTTTCTGAAAATCAAACCATGAATAAAAACAGCATCCTCATTAATAACACAATTCTAAATTTAAAAATAAAAAAAAATGTTATTTTTTAATTTAATTAACCATTCACCTTGTAACGTTTTAATTTTTTTAGCACCACATCCCTTAAATTTTAATTCTGGTGTATGTATCACGGTATTTCTGTTTATGCCTTTCCGCAAACGGTTATATTTTGTTTAAGAACGCCGTAGTTTTAAGTTTCCTTTGCATTTCGGCTGTGTCTAGTCTATCTAAAAAGTTAATGAAGTAAAAGCCATACATACATATCAGAAGACCGGTTAGTAATAAGGCGATGGTCAGTGGGCACCAAATAATTTTTAAAATTTAACATTTAATTCCAATCACTAGAAAAGTAGATTATTTAATTTTAACATACTTTATATTCAGTCAGAATGTTTGAATTTATTCCGTTTACCCCAAATAAAATGAACATAATATCTATATATAATTTATTACAAACAATAAAATTAATATTACTGACATTTTAAATATAGTAATTATTCAGTTCTGTATTATACTACATTTCTCTATATAACATAACCTCTCTCCTATGGCACTACAGCCCACATCAGGTCCTGTCCTCTCCAAGCACCCGCCTCTGCGCCTTCAAGCATGCTTTTTCTTGGCTACTCTCCTTCAGCCATTCACCCCATTATCTCTTTAGCCTAGTTTCTTACTTCCTCTATCCACCGCTTCCTTGCTTTTTTTACTGGTCGACGTCCCACCATAGTTACACTAAGTATTCGAAGCTTCATCTAGGTGTTGTATTATTATCCATTCTTATAAGGTGACCCATACAGTGTAATTTTTGTATTTTTACGTAAGTTGCTGGATGTATGTATATACCATGCTGTGCATATGTATGGAATAAATTCACTTTTACCGTTATTATGTAGTATGTGAAAAAAACCTGAAACAGGTCGATTTTTATTTTTAAATTGACAATTTACAGTATGAAAATATTATCCCCATCCAGCACCCCATTTGATATATAAGCACCCCCTCGAAAATTTTAAATTACAAAGGGGGTCGTGTGGCACCTTTCTAGAAAGGGATTTTAGTCGTCTGTTCAGCAATATAAAGTTTTTTGGGTTTGTGCAATCATAACAGAGAAAATTAATTTTTACAATTAAATTAAATGTTCAACTTGACCACCAATATTCACTAATTGAAAATAACCGTGGTGATATTGAAATTCTCGTACAACATTTTGTATAACCTCGGGGTATATTTTGTTAATTTCTTCCATTATCCCAACTTTTAAATCAGCAATGATGTCTGGTTTATTAAAATATGCTTTAGAAATAATTAGGTATTTTCGTATCTGTTCTGCCAAACATTAGGGAAAAACTTTGAAGATAATAAAATATTAGCCAATAAACAATTGATATGAATCTAGTAGGCTGCTGTCATTTAGATATTTAAAGTTACTAATAGACGTCAGTATAATATTTGTGCTCATATTAAAATTAATTATGGCTCATTTGTCCGAGACTCAAAGAATAGACATTTTAGTTATGAATATAAGGTTGAATGTTCGAATAATTGAACTTTGATGGTATACAAGGCACATATCGAACACAGTAATTAATTAAATCTTGCCCAAGTACTTTCAATTCAATACATTGAGAAAGTAGAATCTTTTCTTTCAGATAACAGTTTTGTAGTTTTGGAAAAAAATCTACTTAACACCTTTATTAATAAAACAAAAGCAATGGTTAAATTGTTTAATGACACTATTACTAAATATAACAACAGAAAGTTAACTGTATCTAATCCTATAACACCTAGGTTATAGGGACTTCCTAAAATCCATAAACACAATTGTCCCATAAGGCCTGTAGTAAGTTTTTGTAACACTCCAGTTTCTATTTTATCAGAGTTTATTTACAAAACAATTCAGTCTATCACTAATTTCAAACCTAAGTTCTCCATTAAAAATTCTTTAGATCTAATAGAACGTTTAAATAACATTAGGATAGAAGAGGGTTTTTATTTAGTTTCTTGTGATGTTTCCAATTTGTTTACTTATCTGCAAAGGATAAAGATGCTATATTAACTATGCTTAAATTCTGTCTAGATCAGGACTTCTTCCAATTCAATCAAAAGATATATAAACAACCAACAGGTTTAGCAATGGGATCTCCATTATCACCTTTTCTAGCTGATATTTTCTTAGACAGCTTAGAACAGAAGTTTGTTAATACCAACAACAAAATAGTTTTTTGGTCAAGATATGTGGATGATTGTATAGCTCTCATACAGGGAACCCAAGATGATGCTTTACAGATTCTGGATGATCTCAATAACCTTCATCCTAACATCTCTTTTACTCTGGAACCAGAATCTGACAATAAGTTGAACTTCTTGGATATGACTATTTCCCGTAATAAAGATTCTTTAGAGTACAACATTTATAGAAAACCCACCCAAACAGATCACGTTATACATGGAACGTCTAATCACCCAACTCAACATAAAATGGCTGCTTTCAACAGTTACATTCATCAGTTACTTAAATTTCCTCTTTCTGATGATAATTTTAATACAGAACTTAATACTCTTAAGCAGATTGCTTTCAATAATGGCTATGATCCTAACATTATTATACAAACTTCTAAATAGAGCTAAACTAAAAATTGCAGAAAAGCTTGCTTATTCATCACAGTTTTTCCAACCTAATGCTTCAGATAACATCAGATATTTCTCCTTCACTTATATTAGTAGCATTTCCAATAAAATATCTAAACTTTTTACTTCTACAATTGATAACATCAAAATTTCCTTTAAATCACATAACACTTTAGGTTCCTTCTTAATCAATACCACAGAAAGGATGAATACACTTGATAAAAGTGGTATTTACAAATTAAAATATGATGATTGTGATGCCTCTTATGTGGGTAGAACCATCCGAAAGTTATCCACTAGAGTCTCTGAACATTTGAAAAGACCAAACTCTTCAAGTTTTGGTCAACACTTAGTATCCAGCAACCACAATTTTAACATCAATTCTGGTTCATCTATCTTACATGACATTAGTAGAAAGAAAACTATCTTAAGTTGGATTTATTGGAAGATTTGGAGATTACAAGGGAAACAAATGAAAACTCTCACTGTCTTAATACTCAAATTAATTTAAATTGTACTAAATTTAATCCTATATTTAAAAACTTTATTACAGCTTCACCTCGTAGAGGACCCAGCTCGACTGTTTAGACTTCATGCACTGAGCATTTCGATATTAATTTTAAAGTTCTTCCATTTTCAACTGAACTACTTGGATTATAACCCATTTATGTATTTTGCTTTCAATTTTGATTTTAACTTTTAGTAATTTAACGGCATATTTAGATTTTTCCTTTTTTACAGTACTGATAGCGCTTGGTGGACCATTTTATTGTAGTCAACCATCCACTGTCTCATATATTGTTTAGTCTTTTTCTTACATTCATACTTTATGTCAACTTCAATTGCTCTCAAACTAACATCCTATTTATTATAGACAGGTTTGAGTGTGAGATTTGGATTATTCAATCTACATAAAAAATATACTATATAATTTTATATTTCATCAGTTGATTTCCTATAGTGGTGTCAGTTGGACCTTTGGTCAATACTTAGTTTCATAGAATTTTAAAAGGTGCAGATCACATATCTATTGTAACTGCCCTTTACAAGCTGTCATTTGTCACATGTCATCTCAATTTTTTCGCCAGACCTGGAGCCATTCTGTCTCCGGCTTCTATATAACATGTAGCTTCTCCATTTTTAAAAATTTTAAAGTGTTTGTTTGTCTTTGTGAATTGTATTGTTATGTCCAAATTTACATGTATGACATTCTGTTCATGTCGGATAGGCCACAACTGACGAAGTAAGTCTATAAACGTTTATCACATAAAAACTTTTTTCAATCATAAACTTCGAGTTTTTTATCGAAGTGAATTAATTTTCCTTTTTTATATAAAAAACGTTTCTTGGCTTATTTCAGGTGCCCCTGAGGATGATCTATTGATCGAAAGTACTTGGGTAAGATTTAATTAATTACTGTGTTCGATATTTGCCTTGTATACCATCAAAATTTTAGTTGTGATTGGCTGTGGTAATAAAACAAGAACTCCCAAGGAGATTTGTGAAATGTTTATTAATAAATACCTTGGTCAATAAGTTTCGCAATATACAGTTGGTGAAATTAAAAAGAAGTTTTGTTATATTGGACATATCATTTTCAAAGTATTGAAAAACCAGGTTATGTTAACCAGAAATGTTAAATTTACTAATGAAAAAAAGTTAAATTTAATGTACGTCAATCTTAGAGTTTGATGAAAATCAGCATAGAACAACTCAAGAACATGCCGCCGTCAATGATGTAAGTAAATCGTCTATTTTGAGAGTTTTGAATAAAGAAAAATACTACCCTTACAAAGTTCAGTTGGTTCAGGAGCTAAATGAAGATGATCCTAATAGAAGGCAAGAATTTAAGAGTTTCAATTAAACAGAACTGTAGATATTGGAGCAGAAAAAAATCCTCACTGGGTGTGTGGGACCC